CTTTCAGCGAATGGATTTGCGCGCGCACTGAGTATCCCACGGCGGACGCGACGCGGATCAGTGAGGCCGCTTGCCGGCCTGTCGCGTTGACCACGGCAATGGTCTTCTGCGGTTGTGTCATCCGGGTTGATCGGGGGAGGACCTTGGGGGGAGGGGTATAAGGGGAGGAAGTAGTATAGAGAATGAAGAAGAGGTTTATCAAAGAGGGCAGGGAGGACAGATAAAAGAAGAGAAATCTGGAGTAAGCCTTGGCGAGAAGGGCTTTGCGATGGTGGGGTAGGCGAGGTTGGAAAGTTGTATGTAACAAGAATCGTGATCAGACCTAAATTATGCGATTGGAACAGTCAGGAGTGTCTCCAACTTGTCCTTCTGATCTGCATTTAATAAAATAAATTCCAAATTTGCAAAAAAAAATCTCTTTTTTAAAAAATTCCATTCAAATTCCGAAAACGCGGAGAGACAGAAAGGATAAGATAAGAAATCTTTTTTTTTCTATACATCCATGTCGACTATACTATGTACCCCTGCAACGTTGTATGATATACCCTTTTTTCTTTCTAACATGCGTGATATATTGATATATCCCCCAAATATCACCAATCCATAAGAAAATGGAAAAAAAAAAAAAAAAAAAAAAAAAAAAAAAAAAAAAAAAAAAAAAAAAAAAAAAAAAAAAAAAAAAAAAAAAAANAGATCCTGATTCGGGAACTTATATGTTGGAGGATTGCTTAGATTTTACTTCATCTTAACTTAAATGTCATTGTGGCACATCTATTCTATGCCTTACATATATATATCCAATACCTAGACATACTATATTTACATCTATAGACATCTATACATCCATGCCAAGCATTGAAATCGAACCCATAGCGGAACCCCTTCCAAGGGAAATACTACCTAAACTAGTGATAGTACTAAATCGCGCAGGTGACTTCATAGCCAGGCCACTTCTCTCGAAAATGCCTTTCCTGTTCCACCAACTGTCTGTCAGGGACAGCCTCACGTGGTGTCTATCCTGCTCCAGGATGTGGGCTAGTGCTCGTCCAATCGCGGCGTTTGGGTCTTGGCATAGGTTGACGTGCTACACTGGCCATGTCCGACTTGCCATTTCACCCGATACGTCCATTGGCTAGGGTAACAAGGTACTTACCTAACTAGGTAGATATAGGTATAGGCATCTTTTGAGTGGAAATAGTTGGGAAATTAGAATTTAGTAAATTTAGTCTGTGATATGTGCCTGAACCCCGCAATTCTCCAAAGGCCTGAACATAATCATCACATCATTCCCTGCTGCATCAGCCACAAATGAGACTATTTTTGAGATCCATGAGGCAATCATGGTGTGCTTGATACTTATATAATTAGTTTTCCACTATACTAGTGCTCTATACGGAGTAATCTTATACTTATCATCTTAGTTGTACGATGTGGGTATAGGAAAAAGCAAAGCAAAAAAAAAGCAAAAAAAAGCAAAAAAACATGCAGACAACCCCACCATAAAAGACAATTAGTTGGAGTTACCCCCTTTCACTCTTAACTACCAAGTATATAAATCTAGCCCTCAACAATATCTTCTAGCTCCCCCTTGGCAGAAACGGCCTTGTACAAATACAACACACTAACATCAAACCCCAGAAAAACAGAAGAAAAAATTAGAAAAAAGGAGAGAAAAAAAAGAAAAAGCGTCCTTATCTTCCCCACTTAGTGCCTGTATCCCGGGTACGGCAGGGCCCGATCTCCGCGGATGGAAATTCCGTATTACGGCCTAGCGATGGTGCCACAGCTAAAAGAAGGCAATAGAAGTAGAACAGGGGGGAGACTATTATTATTTGAAGTTCCACTGGGGTTCTGGCGTGATCAAAATGGAGTGCAAATATTCGGATAATGTGCGACATTAACAAAATGGTGTCAGAATAACGCCCGACGGGTACTCTATCTTTGTCTATTATTCCATACTGCATGTCACCATCACCGACGCAAAGCGCAGATACTTCGGCCAAAGTGAAATGCATCGAAGAAGCAGGGAAAATCCCTATCCCCAAAAGAAGACACCGGCATGCTTACCCGAGAGGCCAATGCCACCCTAAAAAAAAGGAGGGACGTTCATCTCGCAAGAGTCATAGGTAAGCATACAATCCTACATAAAGCAAGGAAGCATACGACACACACAACGCCCCAACCCCTACCCCAACCCCCAAAATCCAGTCCGGGCCGGTTGAGCCTAATCCCAAACCCAACCCGAAACCCCCATGTCAAACTTGGAAAAGCGCCCCAATTCAAGCAGGCGCCGACCCAGGAATCATCCGATTCTTATCAGCATCCCGTTCCCACTCCTCCGTCTCCCGCTGACTTATCTCTTTCGGCCCAACACCAGCCATACCCCAGACGAAGGGGCGGTGACGCGCCAGAAGCTCAGCGGCTGGTCGCTCGTCTGAATGCAGATGAGCGCCGGATTTGCGGAGCAGAAGGGTTTGCTCGGAGAGGCCTGCGTTCGCGGCCAGGAAGAGCGGGGTGCGGCCGGCGCGATTGCGGAGGTGTACGGAGCCGCCTTGCGATAAGAGGAAGTGAAGGATTTCGACTGACGGGGATGTTGCTGCTAGGTGCTGTGTTGGGTTAGTGGTTTGTACGAGATAAGGACGTGGGAGAGATAGGGGATGGGTGACAGGGGACGGGAGAGATGGGATGATGCTTACAATGGGCGTATTGCCGGAATAATCGGCGTCGTTCAACAGCCAGTGGTGTTCGGTCTTGGTGATGGCTTTGACCTTCTCCAGGTCGCCGTGGGCAATGGCGTACCCCATCGAGGTGAGTGTCTGAATTCGTTCGGGAAGTGCACCGTCCGGGTGTCGGAAGATCGGTAGGGATGACTCGGTGAGTTCGCCTCGGATAGATACTGACATGCGTTTGGCGATGGATTCCGGTGTGGATTTTGGTAGCGCGAGGAGATAGGCGAGCTTCGTCAATGCTCCCTCGGTTGTCATGTCGAGACCGGCTACGACACCTGCTCGGGAGAGACTCATGCCGGTGGCATAGACTGGACTGACGCTACCCGTGAGGCCTAGAAGATATGTCAGTGGCATACCTTTTATCGGTCTGCTAAGCCGTTGGACATGACTTACATTGCGTGATGTTCACGATAACAATACCCCGCTGAATGGCACTGGCCAAGACGTTAATCATGGCATTATCCTGACCAGAGGGCGCATTGCCTGCGCCAAACGTCTCAAGAATCAACCCGCGCAAGCCATCCAGCTTCAGCACCGCATCCACCATCTCCGGCTTGATACCAGGGAAGATACGCAGACAAGCCACGTGAGTAGTATCCAAATTCGTCTGAATACTAAATGGCTCCAAGCTCGTAGGCCGATGCACCATATCCCAATTAACATTAGTCCGCATAGAAGTCGTAACGGCCAAGGGGGCACAATTGGGCGCATCGAAAGCGGCAAAATCACTTGCCGCAACCTTCGTCGTCCGATTTCCGCGGAACAACCGATTATTAAAATACAAACAAACCTCGGGAATCATAAAATGACCCGCAACAACCAAAGACCCGAGCAGGTTATCCGTAGCGTCATTCTGGAGCTCAAGCATAGGCGCCTGCGACCCAGTAAGAACAACCGGCTTCCCGAGATTCTGCAGCATAAAGCTGAGCGCCGAGCACGTGTATGCTAGACTGTCCGTTCCATGCAGGACGACAAACCCGTCGAAGAGGGTGTAATTCCGCTCGATCGCCTCGGCGATTTGAGTCCAGCCCTTAGCGTCAATCGAGCTGCTGTCGAGCAGTTCTTCGAACTCGAAAACCGTGTACCGCACCTGTCGCCCGTAGGCGGTCATCGGTGTACGTAGGCTTGGATGTTCTTTAGTTTCGCGCGCTGCGTTGACGACTACGTCCATTGTTGCGCTGGCCGAGCCGTCGTTGAAGGTGGGGACCCGCGCCATGCATTTTTCTTGGAACCCCCGCGCTGGGATAAAGCCGGCTGGTGAGGGCTGCATGCAGATTGTCCCGCCGGTCATGATGATTAGGACGCGCGACTCTTGGGCCGTTTCTTCGGCTTTGGCTGCGTCCAGCGCTGGAGTGGTGGCCATTTTGGTGCTTCCTGCGCTGAGGTGGGGGTTCAGACCGGTAGAGATCATGGTGATGTGGTAATTCCCGATGGTTGTGGTTTTTTTACCGTTTGACTCGTGACTTGCGATTGCGGTCGTAATTTCAATGATCGATAAATTCAAAAAGGTCAATTGATGTCGATTTATCGAATCAAGGCATTAATTCATCAATTCATTCACGGTCTCGGGTGAGCCACGATAATAAAGCTGTCGGGGAGATGTTTGAGAAAGAATCTTCAATGTTGTCAATCGGAAACCAAGTCAAATAAAAACGTTAAAACGTTAAAATCCTTCGACTGTGTAGATCGTCGATGATTGACTCTTTTGGCCGAAGAAATGACCCCAACTGACCCCCAAATCGAATTACGTACAGCCATTATCATTGGTCAATGCTAATTTAAGACTTCGACTCCACTCTCAGCGATCTCGGAGGTTTGGAAGTGCATCCCACGTGATATTTCATGCTGGAATTTATACCTTTCTATTTTAAAACCTCATTTTACTACCGCTACGACAGTTGCTTTCAAACAGATTTCTCCTGTGGTGCCTAATGCATAGTGCCAAACTAAGTATGCCTGCATTGTGAAGGGCTATGAGTATATATATATATATATATGTTTTTTTCATACTAACCTACTAACCGGCCATACATTTTTTCGAAAAAAAAATACACACCCTCGCAAGCGATGAAGAAGCCAACAGCCTGGAAATGTGGACCGGGCTATATAAGAACCGGAGATTCCGCGTTTGCCTGTAATGTTCACTTCTGCGTTAAGCAAAATTATTAGTACAAGTGACAGGGATGTTCGAGTCACGTGTATATCAATATTAGGACACGAATGTCGCAATTTCCAAAATGAAGAAGCAGCAAGCAACTCATATCTGTCACCATGAGCCTTAACCCGAACGGCTCTCAGCCGCAGCACGAGAAAGAAGACATCTCATCTCCTGATTCTTTTAAATTTGTCGTTGGCTGTCGTAAATCAGAGCTCGCGCTCACTCAAACTCGGACCATCATATCAGAGCTGAGACAAAAGCTCGACCCATCCCCGACCTTTGAAATTGCCACAAGCAGTGTCGTTGGCGATGCAGATAAGCAGACGCCCTTCATCCAACTCTCCAAGCAGACGGGCGGATCAGACATTGGCAAAAGCCTATGGACCAATGGCCTTGAAAAGGACTTGGCGGCTGGCAAGGTCCAATTTCTTATCCATTGTTTAAAGGACATGCCGACAACGCTGCCGCCAAATTTTCTCCTTGGGGCTATCCCTGAGCGTGAGGACTGTTCTGATGCCGTCGTAATGAAATCGGACTCAGTTTTCAAAACCATTGATCAATTACCGCCTGGCTCCGTAGTTGGATCGAGCTCTTCAAGGAGAAGGGCTCTAGTTCGGCGAAATTGGCCTCATTTGGAGATATTAGAATGTCGCGGCAACTTGTATGTATTGATTGTCATTTCGCTAATACCCGCTGCATCTATCCAAGCATAGGCATGATCTAATAAGTATGTTAGAGATACTCGCCTTGCTAAGCTTGACGCACCTGATTCGCCGTTTTCATGCATTCTCTTGGCGACCGCAGGACTATTACGCCTGGGTCTCGGCCGTCGAATCACGCAACGACTTGAGCCTACCGTATTCCCTTACGCAGTTGGGCAAGGCGCACTCGGTATCGAGCTTAACACAGATCGTCAAGATATCTTGCATCTTGTTCAACATGTCGATCATAAGCCGTCGAGATGGCGCGGCATGGCAGAGAGGGCGATGCTTCGAAGTCTCCAAGGAGGATGTTCGTCCTCAATTGGCGTTTGGTCTTCGTTTGAACCCCTGAAAGGAAACGTTTCGACAGACGCAGCCCTTGATAGCGGTACCCTTCACCTACGAGCTACAGTCATCCACATAGAAGGAACGTCGGAAATTTCTTCTGAGGATGTGAGCACTGTCCAGTCCGACGAGGAAGCAGAGCAGCTCGGTATCTCAGTCGTGAACATGCTGCTCGACAAGGGGGTTCGGGATCTATTGCCAGAACAATTATAACCCATATTCTACCTGAATGTATCTAGAATAACCCATTCATTACCTATTCCGGAAGTTGTATAGCTTCATATGCACGGCTTCCGGAGCGGTAAGCTGGGTTTGGTGGATGAGTAGCCGTTTCCCCCCGGCTTGCTCGTTTGTTGTGACAATGGCCTACCAAGGTTTGTTCCGCCTATTTCACACTGTTTGCTGCCCCACGAAGCAATCAATCGCCAAGACAAGCAAATAATCTCCTCTCAATCATAAATATCTCTCACTTCCCCTCATTTCAACCTCTTCCTCCTCTCTACCACTCCACTTTCCCCTACCCCATCTTCCACTCCTTGGCCAGGCTTGTTGTCGCACTTAGTAAGTGACTAGATCATCCCAGGGTCTTCCTAAAGCCCTAAGTACTCATCCTAAGCCTCTTTTATGGTGCTAATATCGTTCCCCGTAGTATATAAGCCTACTTCCCCCTCGCTTAACCCATTTAACAATCCAGTTAGGTTTAGAGGGTAATACGATAGATATAAACCCTAATCGTGCGTCTTCCTCGTATTCGTGCCCTAAGAGACGCCGGATAGGGAGATGGCTTCGTCGGAGATCTCATCAGTATCTAGCAAGTCCTTTCTCCCCTTCCTTTCTACTCCACTTTCTAACTAACTTGTTTATTTAGGCGACCATCAGCTTTCCTTTCCTCAGTTCGTTCACGTGGATGATGAGAAAACCTCCGGCCTTCCGGAAAGTGTGAATGGGAACTTTCTGCCAGTGATAGAGAAGTGATGGGTGTGCTGGCGAATTTGTTTGAGGAATACTAGCGTGCAAGCGGGTGAATTGATTGGCCGGCTATGGAGGGTGTGTACTAGTTGCGTATCATGAAGTCCCAGAACTACTAAGTTGCTTCCCTCGGTCAGGCGTATATTGTAGTCTCTGAGAACCGGCTTCCCATTTCTTATTATGTTGGAGAAAGTCCAACTGCATCAAAAATCACATCGCTAAACACACTGCATATTTCGGCGAGACCAGAGAGCCGTAAGGACCAATGTTCACATTCTTTGCCTTCAGCTCCAGTCACTAGCGACAGCATGTGTATAGTTGACTGCACGAGCTTCTTGAAAAGGCCGGTCTTATCGCACCCATATTCCGTTGCTGCTTTCCAAAAGAGCGACTAAGCATTGTTGCTAAAACTTATTTTTGGTTTCTTCTCGTGATATTGATGGAAGATTGAGATATTGAAGGTCTCACAAGCTCTTGGGGAGACAGCGAGAATGAAAGGAATGAAAATATGCACATCTGCCTCAAAGACTTCCAGACGTTTGACATAATTGTATGTTTCAGAAAATGAATGAAACTTATTACATAATGCTCAAAGATCTATAGTTATCGTAGACCCGAGATGGTTATCAGGTATTAGAAAGTAAAGTCTTTGACCACTTTCTTGGGTGGTATTGCCGAAGATGTTGACAAGCCACTGGATGAGACACCTGCGCTATCAGCAACAATATGATCCCGACCCTCCTCCTTGACCTTCAGTATTTCCTCTTTCTTTTCATTCAAAGATATCCAGAGTTTGTGCTGCTGTCCTAGCCCTTCTCCGCCAAAGTTGCTAACAATCTGAATCAAATCCTCCGTCATATTCAGGGCATCTTCGATTTTTCCCTGGTCCTCATAGCAGTGGACTAAAAACCACATTGCTTGAACTAGATATTAAATATTGCTATCAGTAAAGATTCCCTTGCAGCACAAGAAGTGTTGACAATTAATTGTCGGATTACAAGAATGTCACTTACCCCGATCCCCATGTCCCCCATCTGCACGTTTTGTCTGTTCAAATGTTTGCTTTGTAATTATATCTTCCCATATCTCCTGCGCCTCGGAATACCGTTCTTGCCGCCAGTAAAGATGCCCAAGCCAGGTGCGAGCTGTGAGAGTTCCTAGGTGATTTTCACCCAAGTTTCTCTTAGCAATGGGCAACCCTTCTAGGAAGATTTCTTCCGCCTCTTTGAATTGATTCATAGCAGTCTTGATCTTTGCGACCGTCAACGTGGATTTTAGTGTAAGAGGGTGTTCATGTCCCAGTGTGTCTTTTCGAATCAATGTAACATCTTCACTCATTTGAAGAGCAAGCGGAAGATACTCCTCGCCGATAAATCCATAGATAGCCGCAAGATTGTCTTTCGCCTCTAAGGTTTTCTCATGCGTAGGACCCAATCGCTTTAGCATCCCCTCGTATGCTTGCCGCTGCAGATCAACTGCCGCTTCATGCTCAAAATAGCGAAGCTTGACCTTGGAAAGATTATCCACGGCGGTCCATGTATCTTCGTGCTCGGGACCGAACCCTTCCAACTTCGATAGACTTTCGATAACTTCTTGGTGCAGCCGATTGGCTTCTCGGTACCTACTTCCCAAGATACATGTAGCACCAAGGGTATCCATGATCTGTAAAGTTGTAGGGTGCTTTGGTCCATATAGCTTTTTGGCGGACTCCAGGACTTCATATTGTAGCACTCTAGCTTCGTTATTCCGTGTCTGCCAAACATAGTTCTTGGACAGTAAGAAAGCAATAGCGATGCTATACTCGGACTCAGGACCTAGCTTTGCGAACAAATAGTCCTTTACTTGAAGCTGAAGTTCTTCTGCCTTGGACCAGTACCCACAGTGAAGGTAAACCAAGCTGAATTTCGCATATTCAGTCGCCTGCAGCCTCCCAAAGCCTGGCTGAGGCGCCAGCCATCTTAATGGCCAGAGCCAATGAGGAGCCCTCTGGTTTTCTTCAAAACGTTGCTTGATATCTGCCTGTAACTTGCGAACATTTTCCACGTGTGGATATATTTCCCTCTTTGACTTCTCATCCTGGGCCGTATATGCACGTGGGGCTTGGAAAAAGATCGATTGTGCCAATATCGTGGCTGCTGCTTGACACCAAACGGCTTGCTCTGCCGTACTGGTTTCAGGTCTTTGTCGCACCCAGGTATGGACCAATGGATGCATCCAATAGCTATTGTTTTCATCATGAAGTGTCAGCATGCCAAGGCGAACCAGAAGAGACAAAGCACTGCGCAGCCGGTCTTCATCAAACGGGTCGTCGTCCTCGTCACGCAGGACAGCAGGCAGGATGATACTTGGTCTCGTAAGGGGCTCTATCACTGTAGCGGCCCAGTCATGAAATATTTTCCCCCATGTCTTGGGTCTTGAATTTATCGGTACTGGTTTTGCCACACGCTGCTTAGCACGTGCATCTTCCCGTTCTCGCCGAGGGTTCGAAGCCGCATTTTTTAGGAGATCGAACTCAATGTTCTCCCAGTAGAAGAACGAGAAGGTCTTCAACAGTTCAAGGGCATCTCTGGATTGGTCGTTGTTTTTGCTTTCGAGGCCAAGATATATCATCTCATATGAAGAATACACACTCATATTCAACGCACGCTTATCATCCTGACCACGAGAGGGACTCCGACTTCGAGACCGGCGGATTTTATTCCACGTTCGCTCGTAGTACTCAGGATAGTCACTTAGAGAACACAGCTTTTCCAAGATAGCCTTTCCAGCGTGAATGAGCGCAAGAGGCAAATATCCTAGGATTTCAGCTGCTCGAGCGGCGTAGGACCTCGTTGATACTCCCCATGGACGCGAGCATGCGGCAGCCGCCAAAAGGAGGTCACTAGCCTCTTCAGTCTCCAACTTATCAAAATGAAAGAAGCGAGAACCGTCCGTTCCATATCCCTTGTTTGCAGGGTTCCTAGTGGTGATGAGGATCACGCCTCTCTCTCCGCTCGGAAAGTAACGCATCACGTCAATCTCGGGGTCATCGGCATTATCGATGAGAAGTAACCAAGGATACTGTAAACTGGAAAACCAGTTCTTTGCCGCGTTTTCGTTGGGTTCGACACCACCAATTTTGGCAATTCCTGCGAAGGAGTGTTTGGCATTTTCATACGAGCTCCCGTCGATCCAAAAGACACCCCAGAAACTAGATATTGTTGTTAAATTTGTCTTGTTTACTTGTGATGTAAGAATAAAGCTCACTGTTCCCTGTTGTCCTGAGCAAATTTGCAACAGAATTGTGTTTTTCCAGAGCCTCCAAGGCCATAAATGACGAAGCGCTTTTGGTGATCTTGAGGGTCGCGAGAGTTGACGACGTCAAGGGTTGATTTAAGTAGATTCAACTGCTTCTGTCGGCCAGTATAATAACTGCTAACTGTCTGAGGCATGTCGAAATGCTTGTTAAACCTAATGAGCGATGCCACTGCATCCGCAGAAATGAGGGAATCGTGGAGCTTGCAAAAGTGAGCTTGTATACGACATTGACATCTTATGAATAACTCACGTTGTCTGGATCGGTTGAGCTTTGGAGAATCCGGCGAAGGTTTTTAATTCTTATTGCGAGCTTATTGTTTTGATGCTGCAAGTTCTCCGGTAGGGTATCCACAGAACGATCCGCTGCTGAGTGCGATTTGAGCGTGTAGGAGCTGCGTCAGGTTAGCTTTTTTCGCATACATATACCATGAAAGATTCGTTGGACACACAGGTTAAGAGCGCTCAGCAACATCTGCATACCGGCTTGGTTATTGGCGAGGCGCTGTCGTATTTGCATATATTCGCCGTCTCGATCCTGTCTCCGAATCGTTTTTCTAAGGCCGTCGAGCTTGCCAGCTACGAGGGTGCTTTTCTTGCCGACGACCTCCTTGAGTAATATTTCAAGCTGCTCAATGGTCATTTTGCTTTGCTGCAAAAGCGATGCCAGATTTTTCCAAACATTACTAGCATGAGATCCATCGTTGACTGGCGCGTCAAAGCCATTCAAGTCATGTCTTGAATGCCAGAAGTCCTCAACTGAGTCATTTACAGCAACGAGAGCTTCAATTTCTTGCCCCAGAATGGTGATTTCGTCCTGGATTTTGGAGGTTGCGCTTTTAAGGGAGCCGAGATAGGAGATGACACGGATGGAGACATCTGCCAGGCCGACAGTTCCAACTATAATGGAGAAAGGATCCATACTGTTGGAGGGAAAACTCTAGCTAAAAAAACATAAATAGAATGGAGTGGAACCCGATTCTAAGGAGTGTGATGAGACTTATCGATATGGAAATGGGGGGGGGGTTCACCATATTTACTGTCCCGCCTCGAACATCTGCACTAAAATTGCATTAGTGACGCTAGTCTTGATTGATAACCCGAGGTAAGCCAACCGATGAATAGGCCTCTAGTGGCAGCATGACAACCAATAAAGCACAAGCGATATACGACGGGAGATTAGCAAGGTGAGGTTCAAGTATATTTGATCTCAGCCCCCAATTTTCTGGCGGCAATATTGGCGTTCCTAGTAGTCTATAACTTTGCTTGCCGAGCACCAATATTACTTACATGTTCCACGGGGAGTAGATGGTTGTTTGGAGCCAAATCATCGACAGCAGTCAGAAGATCCATACTCGTTTTAAGATCATGATAATTATTTGACCATGACCATGGATTTTGGAGAACGCTTTTTGACAGGGCATGATAAAAGAAGATTAGGTCGAGAAGCAGAGAGCCACATACTGAATTCAAGAGATACAGACGTCCATGAAAAATCGGATGTAATCTCCGTTGATCGCCATATGAACACGCGGTCTTACCAGTGATGGAGAAATGGTAGTTCGAGCCTGAGCAGTATGTAGCCAATAAAAGACAAGAAAATACGAGAGTGGCGCTTGAGCCTAGAAAAAAAAGGGACGAAAACCGCCCAATAGACACAAACTACGAAGTAGTACTTCACAGAATATTTATACAACTAAACTGGGATGAGGCTCCGGGTATTCATATGCAGATTTCTACCATGGGAAACTACCTCTCCTTTATCCGTTCCCAGCATGGGCTCCATGGCAACTTCGGAAGTGTTGTAAGTGCAGCTTACTAGAATTTACTCTAGCAAATTCCGCAACAACCAGATATCTAAAATACAAAGAGAATATACAAAGAGAATATGAAATATTACCAGGTGGATCCTTTTGTCAGGGCCGGCCCGTTGGCCGGTTCCAAAGTTTTACTCTCCACCCATGGACTTGACACATTTTAACCTCGCAACATATACTCCGTACAGAGTCTGTATGTTGTAGTTATGGAGTTCTGACTGGGCAGTGCCCTAAATAATTTATAGTTCAGATATGGTTGCATACTGCTATAAATCCCAAGGACTATAAATAATCGTTGCAATCCGCGAACCAATGATTAGCCGCTCAGAGGCCTAAGCCTCACAATCTGTACCCAACTGATTTTGATCAATGTATAATTTCCCGGGCAAAATATCCATGGACATCATAATAAGGGTTGATAGGATTTCGAGTTCCTAGTACCTCTGTATTTGGACGGGTCAAGTAAATCGCCCGTGACTAAAGCTTATCAGCCAGTAGGGTCGCTGTATTTGTTACTCCTGCCGCTGCCAAGGTCTGTCATTTTTTTTTGAACCAATTAACATCTTCAAAGTGCTTTGTGGAGAAGAATGGCCCCCAAAATGGCAAGGAGCGAACCGTGCCCCCAGCTGAGATAGCCGGTAGTCAGTCTAGCGTGATCGAAATTCCAGCTCACTTCCCCAATTCCAAAACCACCCTAACTTTCCCTGTAATGACATCTCCTTTCAATCGTTCACCTCACATATAATCCGTTACTTTGGTTGCCACTTCGGCATGGACCTATCACAATGGTTTCAGCGCTCTCAGGGAAGCAACACCATGTCGATAAACTTATGGAGCGCCTCTTTCATATTAATAATTCTCAACTACATTCTATATTGTGCTCTACAAAGCTGGCGCAGATATGTCGTGAGTCTTCTGTTTCCGTGTCCTGTCCAAGTAATTGACAGCGTTAGCGTGACAAAGAATTCGGTGATAAGCACGGCTGTTTGCCGATGGAGTCGTGGATTCCATATAAATGGCCTTTAGCGCTTGATATCCTCAAACGGCAATATGATGCATTGCCAGACCAGCGACTACTATTGTTTCAATCTCAATACTTTGACAGGATCGGGCCTAATATGACATTTAAACTATTTGGAAACCAAGGCTATCTCACTGCGGACCCTAAGAATGTGGAATCCATACTCTCAACAAATTTTGAAGGTATGTACCCAATCCTCATATTTGCAACGTTCTTGTCTTACACTCAAAAGATTGGTGCCTCGGCTCCCGACGACCTGGTCTCATGCCTATGCTGGGCGAAGGCATTTTCACTCAAGACGGTCGTCCATGGAAGCATTCAAGAGAGCTACTCCGCCGCCAATTCGTACGAATTCACCGGCAAGATTCCAAGATTTTCGATGAACACGTAGAAGAGTTGATTTCCAACCTCCGCTCAGCAACTGCGAGTGGCGTGGTAGATCTACAACCTCATCTTTTCCGCTTTACGCTCGCGACAACAACGGCGCTTATCTTCGGAGAGCCGGTCTTTGCCTTGCCAGGGGCAGAGACAGATACTTTCGAGAAAGCCTTTGACTATGCCAGCTACATCAGCGCGATCAGACTTCGTCTTGCTGACCTGGAATGGATCTGGAAGCCTGCTAAGTTCAGGGCAGCTTGTGATGTCGTCAAAGAATATGCATCTCACTTTGTGCAGCTTGCCCTCGACGATATGGAAAAGAATGGCGAAGAAGCAGCATCGGAGAGGCATGCATTTATTCTCGAGCTTTACAAGGAGATGCAGGACAAGGTCCTTGTGAGAGATCAATTGGTCCATGTACTTATCGCTGGAAGGGACACGACGGCATGTCTAATGTCATGGGCATTTTTCCTTCTCGTGCGGCATCCCGAAACTCTCGCAAAACTTCGCAGCGAGATCCAAGATGTCACCGGAGGATCCCATGAATTGAGCCGGGCGAAGATTAGCAAGATGACGTATCTCCGATGTGTGATTAATGAATGTAAGTCTACCAGCGGTAGAATCTCCCCATTGAGATATACACTAACGATGAATTTGCATCCAGCTCAACGACTATACCCGCAACTTCCAGTGAACGTCCGTGTAGCTGCTAAAACGACATTCCTCCCGAGCGGAGGAGGCCCCGATGGCAAATCCCCGGTACTCATACCCAAAAACACAGGGGTTGGCTATTCAGTGTACCACATGCACAGACTAAAGAGCGTGTACGGTGAAGATGCAAATAGTTTCCGTCCCGAGAGATGGCTGGGTCCAGAGCTGGATGGTATCGGTTGGGGATTCATGCCTTTCCACGGAGGGCCAAGGATATGTCTAGGCAGTAAGTGATTTAGGTCATGAGCGTAATCGGTAGAGCATTCATACTAACTTGATTGGCAGAGGAATTTGCACTGACAGAAGCTTCACATGCAATTATACGAATCATTCAAACATTCCCCGAGCTCAGATTACCACCTGAAACACCTATTGTTCCACCTGGCGAGGAGAAGCAGGCTTTGACGATTGTGGTTATGAGTGCAGAAGGATGTAAGGTTTTGCTGGACTGAAAGGGCGATATGTAGATTAGACATCAGTGGGGTATTGAAGTTGGATTTTATGTTAGGAATCATAACAACTCAATGTACTAGGATAATGAGGACTACTAATGAGCATGATATAGCTTAATGACCACCCACTAACTAGTCTCTTCACGGCCGCCCCGGATTGACTTGCGATAAATCCTCCTCCAAAAGACCCATCATATACTGATTTCCCCAGAACCAATTCCCCAATTGCGCAGCAGTCCCCAAATCCTGTCCCTGCACTTGAGATGAATCGACTGGCGCCGAAAAGCCGCCCATGTTCTGCTGCGGCAATTCTGCTGAACTCACATTCATAGCGGGATTATCCGCCTGGAAATATCCTTGCGATTGTACCATCTGGGAAGTACCGCTGTTCAGAGGATTCAGGGGGTTTAAAGGGTTAAGGGGGTTTGTAGGCGCCAGTCCAAGTGCACTGAGATAAACATCGAATTCCTGACCGACATCAATGAGATTCTGATCCTGGTCTGCAGCTGTCTGGGTCCGGGTGTTGGCTTCAAAGTAAAGGCGGGCGACGGTGCCAAGGACTGAGCACAGGGTGTGCAGTCGCTCGATGGATTGGGAGAAGGGGCTTAGCGGCTGGAGGGAGGCGACAAACTCTTCGAGTAGGGTGAGGTCGTTGCCGTTGGAGGTTGTTATTATGTTGCAGAATATTACGATAAAGGGGACGAATGGGGATAGGAGGATGCCCCTATATTTCTTGTCAGAATTTGTTGGTCTGAGGTTGCATGGTCATTGCATCGAAAACGTCTTTAGGGTCATTTCAGAATGCTTACCAGTGCATGTAGGATATCCTCATGAAATCGTCTGTCCCTTTGAGCGCAGCAACGCACTGGCGATGGGTTTCCAGGGCTTCCCGGGCTGTCTCAATGCATTCGGGTATGAAGGTGGAGACACGGCCTGAGTCTGTTGGTGCTGGGATGGCTCGGTAGATCAAAGTCATGATGGCCAGCCGGCTGATCTTGTCAGTTGCGAGGTACATCAGGTCCATCTCGGATACTTTAAGATCGGACAACATGAATTTCTACATGTTACAAATTAGTAACTCTTTCACTTGATCATATCCCAATAACGGTGGGGAGTTTACCTCAAACGGCTCCATAACATTTGACTTCATCTCAGCGGCTAACCTTCGCGCATGTGCGACTCGTTCACTTTCCGGTTTCTGCAGTGCTTCCGGGCTGTATAAATATTGGTAAACCTCACTCTGGATAACTGCCGATTTAGTCCACCACATGCAGACGGGTCCCCATGGCTGGGGGATCTCTGGATCTTCATCAAGCGGCGGTAGGCTGATATCGTAGTTCTGTATGGACGAAGCACGTCCTAGACGCAGAGACATCATATTCAAAATTGTGTACACAGACCAGAATAGATTCTGCTTTTGGCGTTGGACTGGTATGGAGTCCTGCTCCATCGAGGTAAAGCGATGATACCCCAGTGTCTGGCACAGATTCATGGCCGTTGATGCTAGCGTCCAACCAACCGATGGTTTGGAAATCTCGAGTGCATGCATAGCCTGTGTTTGTAAGTAAGGATTCTGGATGAAGTATATTTGAAAAGAGAAAATGAGAAAATGACGAAACGGAAATGGGGGACTAACTCCTAGAGCTAACGCCATGATTGATTCATGGTTTGCCGGCATCAATATGTTCAAATTGGCAAGCGCTGTCTCCAGGTTGTTGCGACACATTTCAATGTAGTTCTGGTAGTCTTCTTGTGTAGAGGCGTCTTTCTCCGTGACGCCATACTCGTAGAAAACTCCATACAGACAAAAATTAGTAACAACAAATGCTGCGTCAGAGTAATCGTCTATGCAGAAATAAACTTCACGGCATTTTTCAGTGAAATATTTCAAGCCGAGAAAGGGGACATAGCCACCAAAGAAGGCCGGTGGTGTTTCTAACTGAGTAAGAATACGAAACTGAAGACATTTCTTTTGAATGAAACATACCTTGAATCTTTCTCAACATGTCTAGAACCACTGCTAGAGGCGGCATCTCAAGATCACGAATGTCGCGTCTCACGCCCAACCGCGCATTATTGGCATGAGGTTGACCCCCCTGCAAGTCCACTTCTCGACGCTGGTTCTGGATCCCGACGAGCTGCTTTAACGACGAGAGAGCCGCATTGATCTTCGGGCTTGACAAAACCTGCGGCGAGCTTTTGGACACAGCAGATTCAAGGAACGCGCTCGCGTAAGCTCCATGGGCAGTGAGAGATGAACTACCCTCGAAGCCAGAACTGGAATCGTGCTGCTCGATAGTAGGATTCGGCAGATACAAAAGACCCTTAAGCTTTCCAGGGTTCGGCGTAGTGGATGACATCTGCGAGGGGGTTGACTTCTGAGGTGAAGGGGCGAAATGAGGCTCGCGCGGGTTCGGTGGTGTGAAGCCTTGTGGTTGAGATGTATTTTTTGCTAGCTGTTGAAGAGTTCTTTCAATGCTTGCCAAGCGTTCCTCGATCAAATCGATCTTTTTCTCGCTGTGATCGAGTCAATGGGGTCCTATGATAGGAGAAAATGGTCATACTATTGATTTGAGATTAAAACCCGCCGCCGGGGCTCTGATGGCTTCTGGCCTTCACCGGTAGATCGGCATGCAATGCTAGAGCTGCGACAGTTTGAACATGGCGTGCGCTTGTCGCATCGGATCTGTAACAGGGGTGTGAGATCGAGTCATGACATCGTTCTACTCGGATCTGCAGCTGCATACCTTTCGGAGGCGGCATTGATCACACTGTATGCATCCATAATTAATATTTAATTAGTCAAAGCTGTATCTTCGAAGAATTCCAAAGTTTTCTTTTTTCTAAGCTTGCAACTTGTTGGGTTGTGGAGCAACACCTACTGCGCGTCGGACCAGTGCGCTTGGCACCTGGCGTCCCTCATGATCGGATCCCTCGGGCTCCATGGATTGGATTTCAGGATACCGCGTATTTAGTGTAACATAGAAATTGCTAAAATTAGGTACGATTGAAGCTTCAAATTGGGAGGTCGGGTTCGGCTGTTGCCTTGGCTCGAGCCGTCACGATCACGTGGCATGAATTTTCTGTCAAAATATACATAGGTGGAGATATATCGATTTAGAAGGTTAATATCAACCTGCACTATATATGGGCAATTACAACATGTGATATCTTCATTTAACAAGACCAGTCATGAAAAAGCGTGATCCAGCAAACGTCGTGCCTGTTCTATTACTCCAATGGGCACAGCGCGTCCAGCACACATGAACCAAAAATATATAATCAATCTATCTTGAAGCTGCGGCAGCATATAAACACGAAAACAGCCTTAGTGTCCAATGCAAAGGGAAAGCATATCTATTTCTTGGGAGGCGCAGGGGGGCACCACGCGCCATCGCTCAGCCAAACTCCTGTCGGGCTGTAAATGCCAGCCTCGGAGCCCCTCAAAAATGCGAATCGGAAAAATAGGTCTTCAGGTTTATCGTCAGAATCACTATCACCCAAAATAACTGATTTGGGGTCAATGTTGGTGTCCAAATCACGATTGATCAGACGAGGATTTGTCTGTAGCTCCAGGCCATCATGACCATGGCGGTGCCAAGTAAATTCCCCGCGCTTGTCTTCATCAAGATAACCGCGCCAGCGCTCTACGTCGTTGAGAAGAACAGAGATGCCATCCACTGCTAGATCTGCCATACGCTCGTGTTCCCACAGAGCGAATGTGATATTGCCATTGCCGCGATAAGTGTTGTTCGATCCCAAATCTGGGAGAGAGATGTTCACGGAGGCGGTCGTGATATTGGGATAGGTAGCGCCCCACCAGCCATGGATTCCATCTCCAAGCGGTGCTTGCTCCCCTAGAGCTGCTGGAGTCTCGATAATTGAGGCGAAGCCCCACCGGGCAACTCCGTTGATGAAAAGACCCAGCAGCAGACCCTGGTAGATGAGCGAGGGTCGCGTGGGAAAGGCAGTGCCCGGCATGAGGAGAATGGCGAGGATATAATGATGAATACGAAGGCGAAGACCAGGGAGGGGAAGCAAAATCAAGATGATGAGCCCCATGGTACAGTATATTTTCAAATACCGTGGGAGCAGACCTCCCTGGCGAATTTGCCACGCCTGACTCAGGATAATCGAAATCACAATTGGGATAACAAGAGCCAGTGCCAACTTTGCCCCGGGTTGTTTCTGAATGTCCATCGGGGTTAGACGCTGCAAGGGAATCAACCGTGCAAAGGTATAATTATTCAGAGCTCCAATGAAAAGCGGGGGTAGGAAAAGGAACAACTTTGAAAACTGGTAGATGGGCGAGGAGATTGGCTGCAAAAGCGGCGCCGCACAGAACTTGTAAAGTACGTAGACGACAAACGACGCTGGCAGCAGCCGTGATAGAAGACTGGAGACAAGGTCGGCCAAGAAAGGATACGAGGGCGGGTCTCCAACAAGTCCCGTATGGCAGAACACCATGAAGAATGTACTGAAAAACAACACAGGCGGCGATGTACAGAAAAGCCACAGGATACCAACGGCAGCAGCGGTGATTCCAAGAAGCGTCCAGCGCGGATCTGCTGGGCAGCTAGTTTGCGGCGAGGATAGTTGGAGGAAGCTGAAAGCCTTCGGGAAGGTCGACGGGAACCCGACAGAGAGAATCCCGTGTTGCTTGACTGATGGGAAAGAGTGCGCTGCACCTTCAAGCTTGACAACACCGCAACCACCATCGTTCGAGATTGCACCGACATGGATTGCTGCCTGGCAAATAAAGCTATCCGCACGATAAAGTGCCGCATCCGAGGAATCTGGTTTAGCCCCTCCAATAACTAGACCTTGGTAGTTGTATGTATGATTTCCCACAGTGTAAGGCTCTAGCAATTTGGTATCACGGCAATTCGCAGGACACCGGAAGGGAACAGTCGAAGAAGAAAATGGGCGGCAGTCGTTTCCGTTAATACCACACCCATTGCCCAACTCCCTAAAACAATCGCATTAGCTAATTTTATACCTAGATGAGGTTACATTTCGGCACGTACCAGAAGTTCGTCGCGCATGACAACGTCTGAGGCCGACCGTACCCTTCGATATAACCGGAAGAACGCGAGTGTAGCAAAATCAAAAACCAAGGCAAGAACCAAGATATATAGAGCAGCAATAAGAGTGCAGTCTTAAATTTGCGCTTGGGAAAGAGACGGTCGAGGTATTGGACTGGAAGCTCCTGGACTCGTGGAAACAGCGGCTTCAACAGAAGCATATGCGGTGGATCGGGACCCTTGACCCAATTGGCGGTGGCGCGACCGACCTTTCGGAGCGGTAGTGGCACCCAGCCCCAGCGAAACGACTTGGATGACTCCCGCAGCCAGACGGGAAGAGTGCTGCCAGCCTCGACATCGGGCGGCGGCAGGTCTTCGGAAGCTTCGGGATCGTTGAGGCGCTCGTCATCTTCAAGCAGTGGGGGAACATATAGCCTGGCGGCCTCCTCTCGGCCCTCTCCAAACATGGCGAAGGGTTGGCCTAGAGGCAGAGTGTGGTGTAGTTGGAGGAACTTAAATGGACGCAACGAACGATGGGGTATAAGGTATGACGGTGGTCGGTGGCTGATGGGCGCTAGCGTTACGATAGGCAGTGGGGATCTCCGTTGATTGGTATGCAAGGCGGATGATCACCAGGGACGCAGCCCTGAAACGAATAGAGCGAGTTAACCGTGCTAGGCCTAGAACATGAAACGATAGAGGATATAAACACAAAAAGGAAACGGAAAAGATATGGGAAGAAAGAGAGACGAGGTACGAGATGAGATCTGGGGAAGAGACAGCGAAAGCGGACCCATCAGGCAGCCAAGGCAGCCAGGCACCCAATCAGAACGACACGCGTGACGGTGTCCACAGGGTGGCAACACGATCTCTCCGCCAACAATCTATCTTCGATGATCTTCAATTCGGAAAAAAAATTAAAAAAGTTGCACTATTGCAGGGAAAATCTTCGGATGTGATCTGAGCTTCTTAAACTATATTGTCGTTCCATCCGTGTTGTTCGTCCTACGCTGTGTGACAAAAAGGTCAGGGATTACAGTCCTAATACCAAATGACGACGGAAATGACATGATTCCTAGGGACTTTCCAAGAAAACCCTAGTCCCATCTAACACGATACATTTGCAGAAATACTATATTAACAGTCATTCCCTAGACTCTTTGCAGTACCGACCTCATCGTCGCCATTCTGATATTGCCGTTGCCAAAATGAGGAGCCCTTTCCCAATCTACGGGTGAAGGGCACCACCATATCAGCACCTATGGGAACACAAGTTACCCGAATGTACCTATAAGTTTCTCGCATGGCCGTACTACCAATAGAGACAAGTCAGGTTTCCTTAGTCAAGTTCATTCAAAACGCCTTAAGGAAGTCGCTCAGGGCTGTACTGAGAACCCAACCAAGCAAATATCTCGTTCCTTGGCCAGATCTCAGCCATAAAAAAGGACGGCAATTTCTGGTTTCATCACGACAACACGAATTTTTATGCCACTATCCATATTCTGGTCAAGCCATTATAGCTTGGTGTCTGTCATTTTGGCCGTCCCAGCTAGAAGATGAAGGCGAGACAAGAACATGGAAATTGATATCTTACAAGAGATCAAAAAAAATGCCTTCAGGATTGTACTCAAATGATACTAGAAATAATGTCTGAAACAGCTCGCTTGAGTGCCAATAACTTCTTGTCTAGTATCGTTATATATATATGTGTGTGTGGCTGTCAGATGATGGTGATGCTTAATGTCCCGTGAGATACGTTTTGGTAGTACCAAGGCTAAAGAGAATAGTCATCGTTTATCTTAGTTCAGCCACGATTCCCGGTTGCTTCCCTTCACTAATTTCGGTAGAAGAGTGAAAAATGACTATCTAAGTCTCTGGGGTTGACTAATTTAACTTGTAAGCGGCGGTACAGAACAACACTTGGACATTTCTATGTATAGCATGCGAAAGAATACACAAGATATACTTCGCAGAATACCTGTGAATTGCCCTTTCGATTTAGCCTTACCCCTTTGGGTTCAGCGCTGTCAAACTCGTGTCTTCGCGCGGTCGACGCTCGTCTTCCCATTCCCATCTGTTGCTTTTCAGCCGCACACTACTAGCAGTTTGCCGTTACCTCCAATTTCAACTTCAAGGATCGAAATTATTTTATAGAGTCCTGACTCTGCCTATTCAGTCCATTCGTTCGATAATTGTCCGAATTGCTCTTTGTCCTTTTCTCTTAATTTGACCTTCATTGTTGATCTGTGTCTTGTTCTACCGCGCAGGGTAGCCGGTGCCCAAGTGGGCCCGTAGACGGCCCCGGGGGTTTTGTCCCAGTCTACCTTCTGCCCTTTCCTCACAACGAAGAAAGCGTTTATGCGTACTCTGCATGGACCTCGTTCTGATATAGCTCAAGCAGCTCCACAGCATTGAGCAACTCCCCGACCTCTGGCAACTCCCCAACATCGAGTAGCTCCTCTAGTTCAAATAATTGCGCTATCGTAGGTGGTGTGGTTGGTAGTTTTGCCGGGTTAGCAATCATTGCTGCCTTGCTTTGGCATTTCATGCATCTTCGCCCACAGAAGCAATCACCTTAAGCGGCGATGTCCATCACCGAAGCATCAATGTTGCAGCAAGAGTCTCTTCAGTCCCCGGGCATACCAAGCGAGCTAGGCGGCCAAGGTTCTGTGTCAGAGCTACCTAGCCACAAAGAAAATACTCTTCACGAGTTGCCGGAATCTAGAAAGAGTCGATGAAAGGGTATTGTATTTATCTTAAT